TATACGGATACAATATAAGATATTGAACATCCGGACTTGGATACATATAGATCTAAACACCTGCAAACAAATTCGACGCGAATAGATTAGAGAATATCAGTACCATTTGCATCCCTAGTCCCTACAAGTTTTTAACCTTGCTCTCTCAACGCAATGACTAACTAAATGGCAACAGTTTGACCGCTTAATTGGCCGTCTTAAATAGACCCATGTTACCCACACAGGGAGAGAGTTAGAGCCGACACTGACCTAGCTAGCTCGCAATCTACACGGAAATGTTACGTCAATCTCGGGCAACCTAAGACCGCAGTGTTGCCCCGTGTCCATCTGCGGGCCGGAGGAGTGCGAAAAAGTCCATAGGCGGCAACTGGAGCGGTGACCAGACTGCCATGTTTTGGGGGCTCGAATTCAGGTGCTTTGCCTGTCGGAAATCGCGTCACGTTCTCTAGCTAGCTTGGTCTGCCGATCAATTTCATAATAAATTAATTTAGCCGTAGGAAACACAGGATGCAGTTCACGTCGCTAGCTAGCTAGCTAGCGCCTAGCTTCAACGGTCGAGGCGATCGAAGAGACCCGCTGCAACGCTACTAGGAGTATCTGTGTGCACTGCGCACAACACAAAACATTGCCTCACCGATCTAGTCCCATCAGAAAAGCAGCGAAGACGTACGAGAGTTAGCTGCCCTTCTCCACGGTCGAGTCGCAATGCAAGGGCTAGCTAGCTGCCCTTTTCCACGGTCGAGTTGCGTTGCGGAGATGCTGCTACTACCGGCGACAAGTCCTGTCCATGAACTATCCAAAGCCAAAGGATCGACCGGCCGATGGAGCAGTCGAGCGCCGCATCCGATTCCACCGAGAGATTGCATTGCATTGGCTACCCTGGCTAGCTTATTTTGCATCAGAATATAGCAACAGCCAGCACCCCATCGCCTTCGACCACCGATCCATCGACCCCGCACCGCACGCGTGCTAGCTAGCTCAACTCCAACCAGACAAGCACGCGCGCAAGTTGGCGACAATCTGCTTCGCGTTTGGCCGACCTGAGCCGGCCGTGGTGCCGACAGCGGCCAAGGTTCAGTCAGTGTCCGGCTGTCCGCTAGCTCCCGCTGCCTGCCGCCGTACCAAAGCTGCCGCGCTCGCTCCGGTGCCTTTCTAGCTCGTACGTGCCGCGCGTCTCTCTGACCACTCCGGCGCTCCCGGCCGGCGCCGATCAATGCGATGCGATGCGGAAAGGGGGACGTGAACTGTCGAGCGGCCAGGGGTGGGCACTTTTGCCTGTGACCATTCCCCCGGGCGCGGGGTGGCTTGGGGACGCCCCCCGGCCCGGTCCGACTCCGATCGTACGTACGCGCGCAGGCATCTCGGAACAGCGGTGCCCGGCCGGTGAAATTCGGACGCCATTCGCATCACCCGTGACCACGCGCGTCGCCACTCGCCAACCAGCTGTGGGGCATCGGGATCGATCTGATTTGCTTGTTCCAGCATGGCCGGTGGCGAGAAGTGGAAAATCGTGTTTGCTTTATTTGCCTGCGGGCGCGAGACTGCGAGAGAGAGAGAGAGAGGATTCGATGCCTGCGCGTGAGTGTTAGGTAACAACTTTGGAAAATAAGCAAAAGACGACGCGCATCTTGCCGATCATCGGCTTTAGCATGCCAAGCATGGAGTTTTGACCCTGCGGGGGATGGATTAATCGCTTTCTTTGAACGCATTGTATTTTCAGTCACAAAGCATTTACGTCCTGTTCGCTTGGACTGATAAGTCATGGCTGAAAGTACTGTTGACTGATTTGTTGTGAGAGAAAAATATTGTTCATTGATTGAAAAAGTATGGCTTATAAGCCCAAACGAACCGGGCGTCAGTAACTTGTTCTTCTGACCGACTTTACTCTGTCTTCTCGTGTAAACGGAATGTGTGGATCGTCACCGCTAAAAAACGCATACATCACACTATATATTTACACTATCACTACTGCAGGTTCGTGGCGAATAAGTATTTCAGCAGCAGAGTATTTCACTGTTGGTTACTGCCACCAATTGTAGTGATAACACCGATGGTTCGTGGCTACGATCGATAGTGAGATCTATTGGTCCACACAGAAAATTCATAACTTTTCAATATGAAGTTAAATGAAAACAAATTTTATAGCAAAATTATAGAGTTCAACGAAATCCAAAACATTGTAGCTGATAATTTTTCATTTCAAAAAATTTACATCATATTAAAGTTGCAGCACTCATTAAGATTTACAGTTTTGCAGTTAATTTTTTCATTAGGGATCATTTAGAGTGTCAACTGTGCAATACAAAAATCACAAATGTGAAGTGCCTGAAAATAATAACATTAGTTATATAGGCCCCGTTCGCGTGCCCTTAAACCCGGATTGATCTGCTTCTTTTTTCATCCGGAACAGTGTTTTTCTCTCACAAATTCTTCCAGCATTCCTCCAAACCATCCAAATTCCTCCAAGCGAATAGGCCCATAGTCACAAGTTACTATGAGTCTCATTAGTTACCTATATTAGCTTGTATCTAGACTTGTGCAGTGCAATTTGGTCATGTTTGGTTGCTCGCATAGCCTCTTATCCAGGCTCGCAAAGTGCTCAAAGCAGGTTAACGTTGCATTAGCTAGTAAGCTACATTTGATCATATTAGACAATCGGCATGTTCGCTTGTTGGTTTCAGCTAGGGCTTATCAGCCATGATACAGTGTTTTCCTCTCACAATAAACCAGCACCAGTCGGGCTTATCAGCCCAGAAACCAACCAGCGAACAGGCTAAATACAACTTTGCACGAGCCTATGCGCACACAAAATGAAATATTCTTATCTCCTTTCGTCTTAATGAAACACGGGTACATGTACCTGCTCGCGAAAAAAAAATTCTTATCTCCCATACCTCTATAGAAACAAGAGACCTCAACAAAATATAAACAACCAAACGTAATTTTATCAAATGTGGTTGGCCTATACAGAACAATCAAACACCAAGACACTGCTTACGTTACGCTAACTTGTGTTACGCTGGATAAGGCCTAATACAGGCTAAGCCAAATGCAAGCAACCAATCCGACCCTGTGTAGTTGAGATGATAAGAAGCCTATGCGTGAGACTTGAGTCACATTGATTTTAACCCTACCAAGCACACCCCAAATGCAAGCAACCAATCCGACCCTGTGTAGTTGAGATGATAAGAAGCCTATGCGTGAGACTTGAGTCACATTGATTTTAACCCTACCAAGCACACACACATTTGTTAAAGTCAAACCGACCCAAAAAAAAAAAAAGTGGCTTTCGGAAAATAATGCTATACTCACCAAAGAGAACATGATTAAACGAAATTGCAAATTATGTCCCACATGTTACTTCTGTTCTAGCGACGAATTCATTGATCACCTTTTCTTTCAGTGCATGGAATCCATTGATCACCTTTTCTCTTGGCAGGCCCACTCTGGGCTGGATGAACACGCTGGGCTTCCCAGTCCGGTTGCCTCTCGTTACTGCAGCAGACTTGTCATCGTGCCTGTAGTCTGTTCGATGGCTGTTCTCCCGTACTCGTGACAAACAGCAACAGAAAGATGACCAGTAATTCGCTGGAGTATCCTATCTGTATCTTTCTCCACGCTGAATCCAGGATACGTACTCCAGCGAATTATCGTCACGTGATGCATGCAAGGTTCTTTTGGAGTCCTAGATGCAGCCTGAGCCTGGTGAAAATGATGTGTGCGTGCAAGGGGATGCGGCGAACGTACTCCACATAAAGTTGCACATGCGTGATGAGTAAAGATATATACATTGATCGTGCCCACCATGGTGCTGTATTTTGCAACAATGCAAGCTGAAAATGGATGGCCTAATAATCAGTATATATATTGAAACAATGCAGCATGCGAACGAGTTAGCTATGGTTATATTCAACTCCCAAATATGTTTTTGGCAAAAAGGGGGAAAAACTACACTCTAGCAATTTTTCATCAAAACTCCCTAAACATCCACGCTTGGTAAACCTCCACGCGGGACGCGTCTCCTCACATATCCACGTCATTCCGTGCTCACTACCCACCTGTTTCTCCATAGTAGTTTTTCTCTGTGGCGTGTGATTTCTTTTCTGGTTTTGATTATTTAAGCCCTGTTTAGCACGGCTCCACTTTTTATTCTTTTTAGCTTCAGCTCCATAAATAGCTCCATCGGTGAAATTGGAGTTGTTTTCTCCGTGGCATGCGATTTCTCTCTGGTTTTGATTGTTTTGGAACTCATTATTGGTAACTGCTGGTGAAAAGCAAAAAAATTGGTCCCTACTCATTTTGGTAACATTGCAATAATCAATGATCTGGCGAGTATTTTCTTAAGAGCTCTTCAAGATGCTCTAGTCTTAGTAGGGTTTAAGAGTAATGAAAAGAGGGAAGGAGTGTGCGTCATAACTCCTTAGCATTGAGGAGGCGAGGGTGCGGGTGGCGGGGAACACCATTTTACCCACAAGCATCCAATAATGCATCACACTTTTTTAAAAGAATTACATAGTATGCTCATTTATATGCTTATATGACGAACCAATGAAACAATATATCAAAATGATATTGGCCTTACGTGGAGTAGAAGCCCAAAAGGAATACCTCTTATTGGGCCTGGTCGAAACGGGGGATGTATGACAGCTCCGTGGCAAAGGCCCAAAAAGGTGGGCCAGCAAGCGTGGAAACAACAATAGGCTGCATCGACGGCCATATAGAAACAGAAACGGCCCATCATCAGATATCTACTGAGTAGATCGAAGGGCGAAGGCAATACATGAGTGACGACGATAGGAAGCTACTACAAACTTTTGAGCCATGGATGGACCACGGGTACGCCGGGCGAAGTGACTCCAAAGTCCAAACCCTACGGTCCTACACCTAGCTACTCGGGCCCACGTACGCTGGTTTTCTCCATCCATCATCAAATTTACACAACACACACACTTTGCTCCTAACCAAACTTTCCTCCCTACTAGAGCAGCAGTGCATAGAGGCTAAAACGCCGCGGACGGGCGGCGCGGGTGGAAGGGGTTGGCCGCGGCTGCCGGGCGGGGAGTACGCGCGGCGGGCGCGCCCGTTGCCGCGGTGATGCGCTCGCAGCGCGGGCACATGGTGAGCGCGGATGCCGGGAGCGGCTGCCGGGTGTGCGGGGAGAGCACGGTGGGCGGGGCCACCCGCATGGCGCGCAGCTCCTCCACCTCCCGCTGCAGCCGCCGGTTCTCCTCGGTCAGCGAGCCGAAGCACCGCTTCAGGTACTCGCACTCCAGCTCCGTCTGCTTCAGCTTCGTCCTGCAGCACGTCAGACATCAGTTTAGCTTGTTACGCGAATCGTGAAATTAGCAACGGAAAAAAGTTAGTAACAAAATGAGTAAATCTCGTACGCAATCGAGAGCACCAAAACTATTGAAGTTCATTCACTATGACATATCTAATCATGAGTCCATGACAAGATCATATTGTTAGGAGCAACTAAATCTCTGCTTTGTGCTGACATGCATGACAGACGTCTCTAAGGAGAAACCATGGGCCGAACAGCTTGTAAAAGCTTGTACTGACAGATCAATGGAGGTTAAAATAGCGTCAAATCAAGTACTATAAGCGACTTGATCTGACTTTAGGCCCCCATTCCGAGATAATTATCACCCCTGACAATTGACAAAAGAGTGGAGGCCAATGACTTTGCTGGGATAAGGTGGATTGCAGGATTAGCATTTCAATCACTTGTTCCTCACGAGGCTTGATGAACCATCCATCACAGCTAGGGTCAGCAAGCTACAGGTAGCTAATACTCCTAGCACGTGCCGATTAGTCCACGTGCCCGTACTTTTGGGGCAATCAGCTCAAAGCTTTAGCTCTACTAGAGACAATCTCAATGCACGAGCATCATGGAGTAATCTATTCCATCAAGCTCAATGGAGTGCTCATCTCTGCCTACTTTATCTGGCTAGAGAATCTAGCTATATAACTGTTGCTGTCCCACTTCTTGGATGCAGTCCAAGTTTCAAGATGGATATACCTAATGATCCTTGTCACCTTAACTGAGGGAAGAACCCATGATTTTGTTGGAAAGAAACTAATGCAAGGAAGTGGGTTCGTTCTAATGTTATACTCCTAATAGCTAGGTAGTATAAAATCTGGGTTGCATCAACACGTAGTAGCAGTAACATTGTATATTAGATACGGGTAGATACTAATGATATTAGACACGAGTAGATCCTAATGCGAACTTTGTATAGAACACAGTAGATTTTCCATGTAGCATAGTAGGCAGAAAGGTTGTAATGAAATTTTCCTCAACGACTAAAATAGCTGACTCATGTCATAGCTAGGGTGGGTAATTGTCCCTAAATACTCCAAAAATCCACTGTCTTTCTATATGGGAAATATGATACAGGTTTGGCTTTCATATAAATGGACCTTGTATATGCTGATGTGAGCACGTGAACCGTTTGGAAACATATATTTGTATGACTACGAGATGTCAGCTTGGATAAATGACCCATGTTCATAAATGTTCTGTGACAATGACTGACCTAGTCTTGCTAGTTGCTAGTACCATTATATTACCTCCGGAACATAGAATTGCCCAGAATTGCCCTGTTGTTTGGATGGCCAGGGCCGAAAGTGTTGTGGGTTGAATAGTGATAGTTGGTTGAAAAAGTACGACTTATAAACCAAATGAACACGGGCAATATCTGTGCACATCCTTAGCAACCATTTTTGTCTGATAATTAGGCTAAAGGTTTCCCAAGTGTCTTTTTGTCTTATAGGTGAGCTTGTTTGAATATCTAGCGCACTAGTGACCACTGACCGGCCGCCGGCGGACATATATATGCAGTCCGTGTCATGCCTTAGGTTTTGTTACCAGTACTAGCAATAGCTAATCTGATTAAAAAAAACAGTACCAAACAGTTAATGATGCCTGCTATGAACTGTACTAACTGATGAGCAGTGGGACGCGCACACTACAGTGCAAAGGAAAAACATATGTACTCCTGCTACGTGCGTCCTCCGTCTCTAAATATCCGTCGTCTTTGGTGTGCATTATAGAAAATACGTGCAACATTTGTATCTCTAAATAAATTAATTAAAAAACTAGATTTAAAGACTTTTGTAATATAATAATTTTGTACCATAAATATTAATATTTTTTGTCGGAAAGCGAAAACGATAGATATTTAGGGACGGTGGGAGTAGCTAGGCAGCCGTTTGCCATAGTTAATGGATGGTGAATTATTTGAGATGCGGCAAGCGTATATTTCAGATCGATGTACGTATACATATACGGAAGCGGAAGAGCATACTGTACGTACCTAGCCCTGCGGTTCTGGAACCAGACCTCCACTTGCCTGGGCCGCAGCTGGAGCTTGCCAGCCAAGGCCTCCTTTTGCTTCTGCAGGAAGAAAAAAAAAATCGCATTTTCCAACGCCATTAAATTTCTTTCCATTGCACAGCTAGCTCAGGCATCAGTATGACAGTATACTCTACTACTACTCCATGTTGCAAATGTCAGGAAGCAAGTTAATTGGAGTAACGAGACTCCTGCTAGTCAAACCTACAGTAGCTAGTATTAACTGCTTTCATTACTAGTAGTACGTGGCATATCAAATAGAGCAGGAGTAGCAGGAGTACTGGGAGATCGAGCGTACAAGTTCAGCGCAAGAGAGACAAACGTTATACTACTACAGCTACAGCTACGGGTACTGTACAAAAGTAGATCTCTACTGTATGCTACACATGCATGTACTGTACTTCATCAGAGATAGCGATCCTCCTAGTAGTACCTACTGATGCCACACCACCAGCAAGTACGTACTGGACGGAGTGGTACTGCGTATCTTGATTTTCCCTACGCATGTGCCACTGCCATACACCTCGAAGAATAATAGAGTAGAACACTACCGCTAAATGATGGACGGTCATCAGGATCCGATTCTCGGAATCCACTTCAATGCCCTGCAGTGGAATCCACATCCACTTTGATCTGAAGAAGAACAACCCAAACCCAAATACGAACGACGAATCAATCAGTTGCTGCAAGCAATGCGCTGGTAGGGGCGGTACTTGCTAATCCTATCTGCCGTGAGATTCTGATGGAGGTACAGGTACTCCCTTCCCTTGGAATCTTTCCGGCATACATACGTGCAGCGGTACTTCGCCTACGTGCGTATGTACGCGTACGTCGTGGCAATCGTTTTGGACGTAGCCACGACGCATGCCACCACGGTCTTGATGCATCCATCATTCAAGGGGCAGGACAGGACATGGACTCCATCTCCAACACAGGATGCCGTGGCTCAGTCAGACCTTTTTTTTTCCGGGTGTCGCATCGGAATGAAATGGGACTAATAAAAAAATAAATTATAAAATTCATCGCTAAATGTATAAATGTGGCACCACCTTATCAAATCATAAACTAATTAGAGTTAAAAGATTCGTCTCGTCAAATAATTACTGATATTTAATTATTTTTTAGTCTATATTTAGAAACTAAAAGCCTTAGTTGGGAGAGCTAGCTAGGGAGCTAGCACTAGCAGTGATGTGGCAGTAGTAGTGCTGACGACTGACCGGTGTGAGGGTGTGGTTCAGGCGGAAGCTCTCCTCCAGGAGGCGGGACTGCTCCTTGGAGAGGCGGAGCTTCTTGGAGCGGTGCGGCCCGCCGGCGCCCGCGCCGCCGCGCTCGTCCTCCACCTCCTCCACGCTTCCCATTGGGAACTCCTCCTCCTCGCCGCCGCTCGCCGGCTGGTTCATGTCCAGGTCCCTCATGTTGTTCCCGTTCCCGTTGTTGGTGCATCCAAACCCCTCTGCCAAACAACATTGATTCCAACGAAAGAAAGTTAGCTTTCAGAATAACAGAGATTCTAGGAGAAGATTGTACGTATGCTGTTCTTGAGTTCTGAGCAGAGCTGCACTCCTTTTAGAACTAGACAATATGGAGTGCTTTCAGAATAACAAGTAAACACAATACATGCATGATATATGTTAACAAAAAAAAAACCAAAGACTTAAATTAGTACTATGCATGACCCCAGGCAAGTTTTGCACGCTTAGAACTATGCATGACGAGCATCTATATGTTTATTTTGAAGAGATGGCAAAGGTGGGAACAACCTTAGCAACGACGAACTCTGTAGCAGGTGGTCTCCTGAGCTTACCTGAGCCAGAGGAGGAGCTGAGGCCTGGGACAGCCATGGTGAGCTCCAGGCCTGAAGGAGAAGTGGACCCCATCGCTAGCCAATGCAGACACAGGAACAAGAAAAGGGTGATGAGGGGGGGGAGAAGGGGGGCAAGCAAAGACAAACACAGATTGGAAAGGAGTAGAAGCATGGGGAGGCGTTATATAAGCGCCGGGTAGAGAAGGATGGATGCTTTGGAACTTTTAACAGTGGCAGTGCCCATAAGTAAAAATAATGCGCGAAACACTGTAACGTGGTCCTGCCAGCAGGTGTGCTGTACTTTGTCTGCCGGCAAATTATTAGGGTCACAGTGTTGGAGACATGATGGGGTTTTCTTGTTCTTTGACTGAGATTACAGCGCATTGGGAACGGTTTTGATTCTTGATTGCATTCATGATTTAGCTTTCAGCCTGTTCGGCAGGAGGCGCTGGTTAGCTTTCAGCCTGTTCTAATTAGAAGACACTGTTTATATAAATAGTGCTGCGTGGATGGATCGTGGAGCCAATTCAAATTTTAATGTGCTGTTTAGTAGTAACGATTAGTATGCAAAAAAAAAGATCTAGAAAGAGGATGCACAACAGTTAGACAACAAGCATGAGTATTAGTTTTTGCCATGTCACATAAACATCCTAACGACAATAATATAAACAACTTATATAGATAACTGATACTTCTACACTATAGTTAAAAGTGTTATCTATCAAACATCATAAGTTGTGAGCTATCACATTGTATCTTGTCTCTGCAAAGAAATAGCTTTATTTTCAAATATTACAGGCTAAAAGTGTTTATACTATATTTTATTTTATTGACACCACATTCATTGCCTTTTGTATGTGTGCCCTGGTCGGTTTTTTCCTATCTTCCACTAGTGTTGTCCATATATTTTAATTCCATCTCACATACTACATCAACATAAGACTAGAATAGGCCATGGTGGAATGTGAATTAGGATTATAATAATTTAGATTATGGATTACAATAATCTGGTTTGTTTGGAACCTTAGATTATTATAGGTGCCAAATTATTTTTGGTTAAACTATGATATCCTCTTATTAGGTTGGAGATGGATTATATGATTATTATAATCCTCTGGTTGGATTGTTATAATGTATTTTATAATCTAGAGTGTTTGGATAACCTAGAGATTATTTTCACTAAACAATTATAATCTAAAGTGATCCAAATAAAGCCTAACTAGCATCTACAGTAGATATTTACTAACCAATTATGTGTATAAGTGGTGCTTTGGCTAGAAGCTTCTTGTTTTTGCTCTTTGTTGTCACTTGTCTCTAAATCTGGGTTATGATTGTGTACATGTCTAATAGTAAGACCATTGCTCACCTAAATGGTTGTTTAGCCCACTTAAACACTGTTTAAATGCTGGATGATAGTACACCGTTTTTGTTTAATCGGCCATTTATTCCGTTGAAATAACCGTTTTATCCATTCAAGTGGCCGTTTAGGCCGAATAATGGTTAAACGGCAAGTGATTGACTGTTTATCCTTTAATGTTTAGAGTAACACAGAATAAAACTATCGGTTCTCTTAAAAAATGTACTCATCAATTACTGTAATCAGTTGTTCATTTGATTATCCGAAGGAATTGTGTATAGCTTGCATTCCTCTTGCAGTCTTGCCTTTCTAGTCCAGAAAACAAAATGAAAGAAGTTGCGGAGAATTGTAAAGCCGCTCTGGTCCTGCATCAGGTGGTGCCCTTAGCATTTCGCACTGATATGGACGAGCTGCGAGAGATGCTGTGCCAGCCATCACTCATCACCAGAGAGGACGCAAGAACAGGGTCCAGAGTCCAGACACCAGAGCGAGGCGCGGGTTCAATGTTGCATGGGATAACGGGAGCCCGCGGGCGCTCGCGTGAGTGGGCCCCGCGGACTTTCACCCGACTCGTCATGTCAAACTGACTGGGCTGGCTGGGCCCTGGGCTAGTCGCCCACCCGCCCGTCCCCCAGCTCGGTGGCGTAGCGAGGGAGGCCCACTAGGCAGGAGAAGCAGGAGGAGAGGGGGCCGCCGGGCCGGGGTGGAGGGCACGTGTAGAGGAGTGGCGCCTGGGGCGGGGCGGGTGCAGGGGAACCGCCGCCGGCAGGTCCCCCAGTTCGGGGGTAGGCGAGTCGGCCTGTCGGGCCGCAGCTCGGTCACCGTAATCATTGCACCGCCACCTGCCTCCGCCTGGCCGCTCTCACCGCCGTAGCGCCGTGGCCGTGGTTGCATTGCATGGGCTTAACCGCCGCCCAAATCTAATCCATCGGCGAGGTAATCTCGCGGGTCGGGTGACCACGAGGTTTCTTCCAAGACCAAGAGTGACGTGACTGTTGTTTTTGCATGCAGCGCCACCGCCACTGGTGAAGTCGAGGCTCTGAGTTCGTGGTTGAGCCCGTGAGCCGTTGAGGTGGATACATCGTGTTCACATGATTGCCCTTTTGACTAGTTGACTGTTTAGTTCCTAAAACTTTGTAAAATTTTTAAGATTCTCTCTCACATCGAATCTTTGAACGTATGCATGAAGCATTAAATATAAATAAAAAATAAAACAAATTATACAGTTTAGACGAAATTTATGAGACGAATCTTTTAAGCCTAATTAGACTATGATTAGACACTAATTACCAAATAACAACAAAAAGCTACAGTACCATTTTATAAAAAAATTCGCCAACTAAACAAGATCTAGGAGTAGTCGAGTACTACTGGTTGTAGAGTGGAACCAATCCAATGCACCATACCAGAAACAATCCTAGCACGTACTACTTTGGCCAGGTCACTCATTTTAATGGCTCCGTTCGCTTCTCTGAAAAAAAAATAAATTGAAACACTATTCCGACTGATTTGTTATGGGAGAAAAGCACTGTTCCGACTATAAAAAAAATGAAAAGTACGAAGTATAAGAAAAAACGAACATGGCCGATAAGAATAATAAACACGGTAGTCCATCGTACTTCAGGATTCAGGACTGGAGGAGTGCATGTTGATGACGATAAGGTCACTGCGAGTCTACCTGTTCCGAAGGCCATCGCTGTCTTTCTTCCGACGAGATCACACAATGCATTTTACGAGGCTTGCTACTTTGGCAGTAGCGTCTACTAGGTATACAGGCGTATGTATATAGCCTCCAAGCGGTGCACCAAGAACGGCAGGCGTGCCATCGATGTGAAATGGAGTTGTTGGGAGTCATGGCCCGTTTTAACTGGATGCTTCTTGTCCAGCTTTGATTCAGAGACGGATAGATAGATGTGGCATGCACGCACTGCCACTGCAGACAGATTGACCGTTTACTACTCCATTGTGTTTCGGGGAACCACCTCGATGATGAGGGCGACCCTAGTGACAACAGCGCATCACACAGCGGATAAAGCGGTGCACGGGTATCTTTCAGGATCGAGGACGACGACTGACTAATAAAATGTACCAGTGGCAAACGCGCGCCCCTGCACGCGAGGGGTAAGACGGTCTCCAACGATAAATTTATGGACATCTAAATCTAAAATGGAGGGTAAGAGGTTTAAAATTAATTTTTAATATAGTACTTATATGGGAGATCTATTTTAGATTGACTAAGAGGTACAATTTAAATATGGGCATCATCTCTCCTAGAAACCTATTTACATAAATAATTCTTTTTTAGTCTTGTTGTTTGTTGTTGTAGAAGATGCCGAATATGTATTGAACCTTTTACCTATAGTGCTACTCAAAATGGGTCTTATATTTTGGGTGTTGTTATTGGAGATAACCTAGGTAGAGTAAGATTTATTTACAGCATGCATACAGCGTGGGTATTTGGATGGCATGTAAAAATTGTATGAGTTATTATATTAAACAGGCTACACTAAACAACATTTCATCAAGTAATTTGTAACACATTTCCTCACAAAATGCTATATTAAATGGGCAAGAAAGGGGTACAATACATGGGTTAGACTCAAGTAGACAGAGTAGGAGGCACAGGGCGCGCTCCGCTGCGGCCGTATGATGTTGATACTATACTTGAAGGGGTCTGGGTTGCTTATACATAATATAATGATTGTTACTTACACTAAAGACTGAGAAAACCCAAATGAAAGTTTGCCCATACATCACAAATTTCATAAGAAAATCGACTAACACACACTTAGCGAGTGTGATCACATTTAGGATTGATAGCCGTACTATTCATTCGCGCGGGAAAAGAGAGTTTGACGCGGAGCTGACACGTAGCAGCGTCAGACTCGTGGCTGGGTCCGACGGTGGGTGTCGGACCAGGGCCCGACCGGCTTTGAGATCTCTGGACCTTACTGGACCGCATCGGACCCTTCCTGTGTGGAGTCCGACGGTGGTGTCAGTGACCATTTGCGCGGCAACGGTCAACTCGTTTCGAATGGGACACGTGGTAGCACGGCAGTGGCGCTAGGGGCGTCGGACTTGAGGCGTCGGATGGTCCGACGGCCCCGTAAACGCGAGTCCAACGGTCACTTATGTGACCTAACAACTCTATTTCATGGGGCTTCTATTTAAGCCCCATGGTCGGCTCAAGCTCACTCTCTTGACCATTTGCATTGACATAGCAACCTTGTGAGCTTAGCCAAAGTCCTCCCACTCGACTCCATTATTGATTCATCATTTTTGTGAGATTGGGAGTGAATCCAAGTGCATTGCTTGAGTGATTGCATCTAGAAGCACTTGGTGTTCGTGTTTCGCTGCGGGATTCACTTGTTACTCTTGGTGGTTGCCGCCACCTAGATGGCTTGGTGCAGCGAGGATCATCGAGCGAAGGAAGGTGCTTGTCTCTGGCTTTGATCATAGTGATTGTGAGGGGTTCTTGATCTTTCCCCAGTGGAGAGCCAAAATGTACTCTAATGGATTGCTCGTGGCTTGTGTGATTCTCATCTTGTGTTGGTTGTGCGGCACCCGATTGCGGGTTTGGCGTGTGATGCCAATTAGCGCGTGAACCTCCAAGTGAGTGAATCGCCACAACGAGGACTAGCTTGCCAACAAGCAAGTGAACCTCGGTAAAAAATCTTGTGTCATCATTGTCCGAGGATTTTATTAGTTATCTTATG